TTTGATAACTTAGAGAACTGATGTTGACCAACAGGCTTGGTAAATTAAAGCCCAAGTAAAGAATATCTAAACACGGAAACAGTCCTGAATAACTTCACATGTGAAGACTCTTGTCCAGAATGAATCTAAAATACATTTGAAACCATTACCTTAAGTTATTTTGAAAATAGATTAAGCTATATCTGAAAAAGACATTTGGTTTAGAATCAGAATGTTTTACACGACTTATTCAGGAATAGCTGATTTGCTTTAAACTTCATATTCTGTCTTACTGCAAAAAAGGTATTTAAGGACAGATGTTCACACATTGTTGAGAGAGATTTCCTTCACTTCTTCTGTAATTATTTATTGCATTTTATGTTGCATACAAAGACACATTGTAATGAAAACTATCTATTGCCATTTTTCACTGTTTTAGTAAAGCTTCTTTTAAAACAAACTACTTCTATATATACAGGTAATTTCTCACACAAACTGAAAAAAAGAAATTCCCTGGCCAAGAGACAGCAAAGAGAAGAGCGTTTCTGAAATTTCATATCCCAATCAATGTCTTTGTCAGAAAGGCCATGTGCAGAGATGTCTGCTCCCACTAAGATGTGTTGCAAAGGGCTGCAGGTAATTGGGAAGAAGCAGATTTTGCAGACAATAGGAAAAAAAAAAAAAAGCTAACAGTCGTGACATCTGTCATTCTGTTGTGTACCTGTAGGCCATCAACGTTTCCAAGAAAGCTGTTCACAACAGATGGAACGTGGCCTTTTGGTTCAAGTATGAAACCACAAAATGAGGACTACATATGTCACACTAAAGGTGTTATTTAGGGGAGCACCAAGGGTAATAAAAGACCCCATTACTAACAGTGCAACAACAGAAACTTTGGAATGACAGAAGACTAATCTGTTATCAGCTACATTTAAAAAAGAATGACAAAATATATTTCTGCCTTTTTCTAACACTAGAAGCAACAACAATAATGTTTTCTAGGTGAAAGCTCCTTCGCTTCTTTAACTAAATATTTTGAAAAACTTAAAAAAGAAGAAATAAAACTACCATGCACATATGGCAGCATCATCTAAAATAACCATATTCAAAAAGCTCCAACAAAATGCTTCCCATTGAGGTCATTCAACCCCTGTGACCACTAACAATACTAATAATGGGTGAGAGAAACATTTTTCTACGGATTAGAAACTGGCTAAACAGACAGAAAATGAACAGCAGTGATATGTAGCCAATTTCAGTAACCCAAAAGGTTAGCAAAAAGTGCCCAGTACCTCCTGTTAGGCATGTGTAATTTATTCATAAAAGGGAATGAATAGCACCAATACTTTACACATCATAAAATAATTTAGAATAGTCAGCAATGAAGAAATGTTTGCTTAACTCAAGAAAGCTTGTGGACAGCTTCCTGATGGGTGAAAGTCAGTACTGATTTATGAAGAATAAGACACATTGCAGAAACCTTCTAAGCTACATACATTACCAGATCCTGAACAAGTTGTAGCTCCTCAAGTGAAAGACCTGAATGCAATTTATATACGGACAAAAGAAAAAAACATGAAAATATGGTTATGCTACTGTATAAATCTGTGGAATCATTAAATGCCAACTATGTTATTTTGTTACACTTATCAGAATTTTCAAAAGAAAGTACAGACCAACAGATTTCTGTTTGGTAGAGAACATGGTGAAGGAAACGTAAGGCAGATGCACACGAATGTGCGCACAGAAATGATGTGACAGGGTTTCCAAGGTATGAACTTGTTCTATACACAACTATTCCAACTTATGATTTCTTAGCTATTATTTATGAAATCAACCAAGGTCTAGCAATACCCAATATTCTCTTGCACCACTGAGACACAGTAGCAATGCATGGTTTTGAATTATATATTATAGAAATCTTATTTGCTTAAACTGATACACACTCAGAGGTTTTAAACTCTTTCTCCTCTGGAAGAGCAATACTTACATTGTATGATAGTTTCACTCATTAATAAGTGTTAATTTATTACCACAAAGGTACTGGCATTTCAAAAGCATCATTACAAATGAAAGACTAATGCTGTAACAGATTTAATTTCATTAGCAAGGAAATGTGTCAATCTTTTGATTAAATTAACAACCAAACAGAGTGTTTTAGGAAATACTCAATAGTATCGCCAGTAAAACACAAGGAAATCCCCCAAGTAAGGATTTGTATTTTAGAAGAGAATGCCTGGAGGATGTAGCATATTTATGAGTTAGGCTCAAGATCCAACAACTGAGAAAATAATTTTGTCACTCAGCTTCATTTTTCAGTTCTGCTGGCTGAATGAAGAGCGAAGAAGATTATGAGGTTAAGACCACATATCAAGTAAGCTGTACATTATTGCATTTTTCCATCTCCACAGAGTAAGGCTGATTAACATTTTCCTTCCCAGTGTCAAAATTTTTTAGCCGTCTGACAAACTCTGGATGCTCCACTTCCCAAGGGAGGCAAATCTCGTTAAGATTTGATGCCCACCACAGCAACTGAGAAGTGTTCAAGGTTACATGTGCACCAGCAAACAGACCAGCCAGGAGCTATTCCCTGGTCCTGCCATTAAACAGGATGGCATGGGATAGCCTGTGTCCACGTGGCTGTATTTCCCGTGCCTCAAAAACAGGATGTCTGCATCCAAACTAACTACTGGGAATGGTCCTGGGCCTCTGCCAAGCCCAGAACCATGCCAGGGTGTTGTCTGGGAGTTGCTGGCTGCTTTGGGCCAAAGAAGTCTCTAAAGACTAGTCCAAAAACATCACTGTATAGCTGGCCCAGTACTCAAATCCATGCAGTAGTCCACTTAGTTACAAGTACGGATGTAACCTGTGTGGCCCTTCTCTACCGATCAGACTTAGTTAAAAGCATCAACCTAAGACCACGTTTGTGTTAAGGGGTCTCCTGAAGAAACTGTTAACAGAAGCCTCCCTGAGAGTCAGTAGGGAAATAGGGATGGGGTCCAAAACTGAATTTATCCTGGAGTAAACTGGCAATTCCTGTTTCATTTCTCTTTTAATGAAATAAGAAAGCATTATTTCACAGCAGTTTAAGAAAAAACCCCATAGTACCCCATTAACCTGCAGAGCACAACGGCCCAAGAAATTAGTGGCATTCAAAACTGACTGGTGAAGAGCAACCAAGGAGAGATAAGGAGATAGCACTTTCTCCTTTTCAGGCACGCTAGCTCAAGTTCATCAGGTTCCCTCATCATTGTGTAAGAGAGGGACAATCTAGTTTATATTTGGTTAGATTATGAAAGGGCTTTAAAATGGATAATAAAAATCATATCTGCTAAACATACGCTCCAAAAATAAATGTTTACTGAATTATTTGAACAATAAATACAACATATTAACTTCTAGCTCAGAATAACAAACTGTAAGCAATCAAAGGTTCTTAAATTCTCTGCTTTAAGACCAAAACTGAAACTCAAGTAATAAATGAATATCACATAAGAGCTACACAAAAATAAAATCAAATGATCTAGCTACTAAAATACACATATGTGCTCAAAATCTTGTGGGAATCAAATATTCCAGTAAAAATAAAGGGAGAGGTGGAAACACAAGTTTCTTATTATCACACTTCATATGTTATAAAACCTAACAGTTAACTTATTTTTGGCAAAGGGACAAAGGTTGCACAACACTCTGGCTTACACAAATATTTTCTATTGTTAAATGCATCTTAAATGTAGCTTGTCATATATTAACTTCATGCACACAGTACACCATGCAGTCTAGGAGTGTCCCAAAGATACCTACATTTCAAAACACTGATGAATAGCAAGCTGCCAGCATCCAGTGAGCCAGGTGTAAAAAAATTACTCAGCAATTCATAGTTTAATTGAAACCAGATAAAATTATTTCTGTAATAAAGACTGTACAGATGTTGACCAAAGAAAAGTTGATATTTTTGGACAAATTACTGCATATGATATTTTCTAGAACACTCCCTCTGAAAAGATAGAACAGTAATAAAAATTCTCCCTCAAAAAAATGCCCTTGTTTATAATCATAAAGTGAAATATTCCTGTGGAAATATATCAGGTTAACCTCATGTTTCACATTTTTAGTTGCTGTTTCCTTTAAAGGAAAAAAAAAAAGTTAGACATGCAGTGGAAATGGTTCTGAAGAAGTGGAAGAACCTACTCATGTGTATATTAAACACAGACTTTACGCTAACACTGCACTTCCTTCCACTGAAGATTTTATAATGTAAAGGAAGAGGCAATGATTTAGCAAGAGTGAGTGTTTAAGAATAAAAATTCACTATTCTTCATTCATCATCTGCTAGTAGAGTGAGTTATTACTGAACACTAACAGTTTGCCATTTCCAGAGTTGCAAGGACATGGTCCTGCCTCAGCTTTCTTATTGCTTCACAGTGACAAAGAAAAATGTTCAGATACACAAGAACATGCAGCAACACCTCTCGCTCTCATTGAGTTACACAAACAAAGACTGAGTTGCAGAAGCAATGACATATGCAAATGTACTAAATTTTAAACCCAACATCCTTTACAGTAGTACTCATCACAATTTATATTATTATTCTCTTCCATACATTTCCCCATGTACAGCCAGCAATCTGCTTGCCTTGAGATAAGAGGCTGCTATGAAAATCATAAGTCTTAATTTTTAGTGTAGTAACATAATGTAATTGCCAAATATCTAGTGATCTGTTTATAAATTAAAGATGAGAAGACAAGAAGAAAGTCTTAAATATATTTATCACCATTATGAATTATTTATATTTGAAGGGCATTTAAAGGTCCAAATTCAGAGTCAGAACTTTATTTTACATCAAACTGCTTTATCATATGTTATTAGGATTAGTCGTTGATGTTTTTATTTCATTTTAATTGAAAGGTTTTGTACAGCAGAATAGAGCTTCCACAGGAAAGACATGGCATTACTCATAGGGTAAGCATGTGCACTGTTTTGCTAATAATATAACTCCCATTCTATAAGGTTAATGTACCTGAAGTTCTGATGCTCGCTTCATCATCTCCAGTGTGATGTAGCAACCAATAGAATGAGCAATCAGTACCAGCTTTATGTCTTTTGATACATTCTTTTTGAGGAAGTTCAGCTTATGCTCTACTTGTCCGTTAAGTCCAAAAACATCCTCTAGCTCCTTAATATCTGTGTCTGAAACATAAAAGAAAAGAAGTCCTTTGTTTTAATGATAGAAATTTCAAGTATCTCTTTCTTTTTTTTCACTTCTTTGGAAAACTCTGAAATAAACAAACTTATTAATTAAAAAACCCCCAACCAACCCACCAAACTAAAAAATGTGATTTTAAGTTACCACCACTGGTAAATATAGACTGATTAATCACATGTACAGAATGTGAAGCCTCATGTGTAGCTGGGGAATCAGGGAAGGATGCGGAAACACGTGGAGCTTTATGGTGCATCATCTAGCATTGTGATGCCGTTCATTCAGAACAGGACTGAACTCAAGGCATTGGACCGCATAAATCAATCCAACTTTACATTGAGAGATCGGGACCTACAATAGCAATACTTCATCTTCACTCAAGACAAACTATCACACAGGTTATCACGCACTAAGAACCTTCAGATATTCCAAAGCTCCTGTCTTAAGATAAAGATGCACAAAAAAGTCCCATAAAATGAGGAAAATGAAATACGTATGCATCAACATGGAGCACTAGCACTTACAAAAACTACCCCTCTTTATGCAGGTTCTTATCATTGTCGATCCAGCCACAAAAAGTGAGATCAAGTTAGAGCTTCATGGTTCTAGGCTATTGTGCAATTTCATTCCTGTTTTGCCAGGGACCTCCTAAAGGAGCTTGGGCAATCACTTAAGATGAGGACTTTGCTACTTGCTTCCTGGCCAGTCAACAAGACAAGGATGATCTGGTGCCTGTAAGAATTTACAGCAATTTGGGCATCTTTAACTGCTGCTCATGAGGTGGGTGATATGGCTCTCAAGTTCCCCAGTCTAAGGGGATTGACAGCTCTTTCATCTGCTAGAAAAGTGCTCTATCCGCTAAACTAAAAGCTATGTTAAGGATACACCACTCCAGATGAAGCTGGACTACTCCATGGAAAAGGCTGTAGGAAGAAATACTGAAAGAAAGAATGACAGAAAAGAGGCAGAAAGCACGAGGGAACATATGCCTATAGCTTATCTAAAAGAGATGTACTGGTACTAATATCTCTTAAAACCACGCTATTACCTCAGGGCTCAATTTCATACTCCAGTTTAAAACTCTGATCTTTTACGCTCCTTATATGTTGAGCTGCAATGCAGCTTTAGTCTGAAATAAGCTACATCTCCCAGCAGCAAGGTTCAGATACAGGATGAGGACTGGCTCATTACTGAGCCATGGTCCTACAGACAGCATATAGGTTACTGACAAAAGCCACCCACCTCTAACAATTCAGGAGCAGCGAACAGAGGTAGTGCACACACAGCCCTAACCAGCCCAACAAATATTAGGTGTTTAACTTCCCACTTGGTTTCTTTTATGTCCTCTGCATCAGTTCCCTATGTGAAAAATAGATGTGAAAGAAAGTATCTGGCAGGCAGAGATATTGTAAAGACACATAGATTAAAAAGACTGAAATGCATTGAAAAAACTGTGAACATAGCTTATCAAATTATGAAGGCTGATTGGTCTTTTAATCCACATGTAGTAAATTTGATGGCAATTGGTCAGTAACCTCAAATACTAAAAATTACTAACACTACAGTAATGAAGTTACTGGGGGTTTGACAGTGATAGTATTAATTGGTAGCCTAAGTGGGCTGGCACTATATCGCCTTTTTGATCATCTGTATGAAACATAGCCCTTCAAAGCAAAATAATTGTTCAAGAATGTGTTCTGATGGCTTTTTTCTGAGCTTAAACTATTGCCACAGAGGTCACAACAAAGAAGTTCTTTAGTTAAACTAGTATTTCTACTAAAACTACTAATGATCATATCCCATTGTAATTTATAGTAGTTTACTCTGAATGAAAAAGGGGTTTACTAAAACACACTCAAGGAATGCAAAATTAGATAGGAATTATTAGATAGGAATTAAATTAGAGAAGTAATATTTTGCTTATCAGGCTTTCTACAAGTGATGGAAAACAAAGAGCTTGTTATATTTTCCAAAACCCTAAATAAAGGCCTAAGGCCAAAACATTGTTTTTAAACTTAGTTTCTATTTTTAGCAAAAGCTGCCTTTCCTACTTTTTATTTATTTACATAGCAGCTTAAATTCATGCAGGAGTGGGTTGTCTACATCGCAAGTCTAATTAAGTGTATATATAATACACAGAAAAACCAGAATACAAGAAACATGACGGCCCACTGGATACACCAAGTGAAAGAGCATGTTGAGTATAGGTATATTACTGTGTGTTGGGTTAAGCAGGTCAGTTTTCCCTTGTAAACATTTGCTATCATTTCCATACTGTTTTACTCAGGCATTGCCATCTCCAGTGATTTATCAGCTTGTCCTTTAATGTTTGACATTCCATTTGTAGCTTTGAATTCTTGAAAATAAGTGGTTTTACAAGAATTTCAGCTTATTTCCAGGTTAGAGCAAGGGAAAAGGAGATAAAGTAGGTGTATAAATCTTCTAGAGAACTTCTCATGGTTCACAAGACCCCAGAAACCAAGCAGGAAACAAAACAAATTTTTATTTATATTGTTCAATCTCATGAGGTTAATGGGTGCTTTTCACTACACAAATTCAATATCTGCTGCAAGAGATGCTGAACATTGCTGCAATGTAATTAAACAATACAGCAAAGACAGTCTAGCCCAGTGTCAACATTTTCCAAGTTAAGGTAGATAACTATGTTAGACAAATACAGTTAATTATTTTAGTTATTAAGACATTAGATATCTAATTTAATATTTAGTTACCTAGTAAATAACAGCATAGAGATTCAGTGCAACATATTCATAGCTATTACTGATTTCAGCAGAGATGTGCCTATTCAGAACCAGTTTTGTTGCCAAAGCAAGAACCCCGAGGAAGGATATGGGTGGGGATTAAGAGCAGAGTGAAAATAAGGGCTTTTTCCTCCTTGCATTTGCCCATACTTGAGTTCAGGGCTTGAGCATACTCAACTCAAGCCTGTGCGCTAGTGTTTCCTTAAGGAAGCAGGGGAGAACAGAGCTTGCAGAAGCGATTTTTAATTAGATGGGTTAGTTATGATTGATGATGATTGTAGAGACGCATTCTGCTGCACTGGGCCAAAGCATCCTCAGTGCAGCCCTGCTCAGCACCACTTACAGCAAGGATGCTCAGATTCCACATCTACTGGCTTACGTTACATACACATATAATCTCTCTTAGACTGAAAGTGAGTCCTGACAGCCAATGCTGACCCCAGAGAATGGTTTCAGCTGTTGAATACAACTTTTCCTTTTCTTCTGAAATACTGGTTTGTTGCCAAACCAAATCACATTGGCACTACTCCTACAGAAGCCACACTGGAGGATGAGCATGCAGTGTGGGGTCTGGCAATCCACACACAAAACTCTCCTCATCACCATCTGACCCTGCACTCTTGTCAGGTGAAACTCCAACGTCATGTAACCCTATATTGAGATACGCATACTATTTTACTTCTAGACAAATATAAAATTGCCCATGCCTCGTGTCAGTTCACGTTTCCCCAACACAAATGCTACATTTCTAATAGTCCAAAATATGTGAGAGCTGGACTGCGTCACAGGTTTCAAAGATTTATTTATTTATTTTAAAGAATAAAATTGCCCAGGATTATCCAAAATCAACATTAATTTCTTGGGTGGAGAAGCTTAAATGGGTTTTTTTGTATAAGCAAAAAGACTTGCACAAACACACTGGCAGTCAGCTCTCCAACGGCTCTACATCAGGGAAGGGACCAGAGTCACTTCACCTCAGGTGTGGAATAAATGGCATGGCTGAAGGAGAGCTCATTTAAGCAGTTTTCAGATAGTAGAAATTATACGACTTGTACACTATGCTGCGAACACCCCAGCTGGGACAAAGCATGTGATTTTAAGACTTTATTTAGCCGAAGTGTATTAAAAGAAATACTGTATTTCTTTATTTTCTTTGGCAAAGCACTCATCTTCTGACGTGCTTTCAGAAAAACAAATGCACCATCACTTTAATGAATCTCTTTTTCTGACCTCTGTTAAACCCACAGTCAGAAAACAATGATAGATTAAAATAAAGTGTTTGCTGTGAGATTAGTTGACAAGTTAATCTTGCTAGGAAAGAGGACTTTGGTTTTCAGGGAAATAACAGAGAATTGTTTGTTTTGTTTTTCTGCTGTGTATGCAAGGGAAATTCTTGGGCAGAAAAAAAAAGAAGCATATCAGTTATATGAACAGACTTTAGACTGGAGATTCATAAAATTTAGCCTTTCATTAAAAAGTCTCCAAAAATCATAGACTCCTTTTTACTGGATGATTCAAAAAGATACTGGAGGCTAGAATTTCCGACACTACCCTCAAATTTGTGCATGTAATTTCTGCATGCCTTTGTACTTCCCTAATTTCACAAGGGAATGCTTGCGTGTCCAAAATCCCAAGTACTCTGGTCACAACAGATGACTGTACATTTGAGCTCAGTATGTACATATGGACCCCTGTCCACTTGTCATGGAGTGACTTTAAAGTCTGTCTCAGCATCTGCTCATACACAAGGCCTCCAAATTAATGATGAACAAGTAAGGAACTGAGTAAAAAGGTGACTTGTAATCATATGCTATGAAAGAAAGGGAGGTAAAAACCACTGCCCTACCTGCAATGTATTTTCTTCTTCCCTGGCTCATTTACTCCAGGAGGTAGCACCAGGATATCTAAGGACAAACTCTAATGAACCACCTGTATAAGCTCTTGTGGTCAAGAATTTTCAGAACTGGACCTTTTACACGGTAAGGACAAGTAAGTATCTGGAGACTGAACTAGGGGACTAGAAAAAGATTTACCTCTTCCTCTGAAGATGCTGCTCATTTCAGCTGCATGAGAAATCACCATACAGCTTAATGTTAACAGTGAGGAGAAATAACAAGTTTAAACACATGAAAATGCAGTATTGTAACAGAAAGTAGCAAGAGAAAGAAAAGCAAAGAGAGAGAAGATACTGAAAGGTCAGTGATGATATCAAAGCGTATGAAAAG